GTAACTGTTAACGTTCAGATGTGACAAAAATAAAGCTGCAAGCTCACCAGCATAGACTACGATGCCTACCACCGTCTCAGTGTTGCGTATGGTGCAGCTCCTGAGCAACAGGTTGCCACTATGGAGGCCTACACGAACCCCATTTGAGTGCTCCCTGTGAAACAAAACACACACAAACTCATACAAAGACAAAAACAGTTGAGTACCAGCCTCTCTATAAGCAGTGCTCATTCTGACCACTTGAACTGGAAACTAAAAGGCGGTCTGAGGGAATCCCTGAGACATGGATATGGACTCCGGGAAAAGTAAAAAGGGCTGACATCCAATAATAAAAGAAGACACTCACTTGTCAAACTCACTTGTGTTCCTAAATAATCCATCCAGGCAGCTGAAAAAAGTCTATTTTTGATCGTCACCGTGTTTCCATGACAAGGTGACGTCAACTCCAAACAGACAAATAAACAAATGTGTTAAAACTCTCTAAAATAAAACGAGACTCACATGTAACCTCGAAACCTGCTGAGGTCGTTGTTGGGGTTCTCACACTCAATACGACTGTGGAAACTCTCAGGAGTGAACTCTTCTCCCTGCAACAGACACTTTCTATCAAACATGCAAATGAATACATGTAGAAAGTCAAGCAAAGACACAAACACACAAAAGAAAAGACTAGCACACACTGTTGTGTAAGAGTCCCTCTTATTAGTGGCATTGCTGCAAAGCAACAGCTCCTTTGTGTGCTGCGAGCTTCTATTCAGACTGTTGGAATTTGATACAGTTTCTGAAATGTTCCACTTTTTCTATTGATAGAGTCACATTGACTCTGAATGGAGAGAACAACCTCTCTTCCCTTTAGGCTGAATTTCTCCATTTGTCCTTCAGACATTGTTGTCACACCAAACTGAGCATGAGTGTGCCTACACAACCACCTTCTGTCACGATCCTGGGTCATCCAGCATTTTGAGTTTTTCTTTTTATGTTTATGGTTTATGTTTAAGTTCATTCCCCTTGTGTCTTCTACCCCTGTGTTTTAGCCTCCCTTTGTGTTTCATGCTGTTTGTCTTATGTTGTCAAGTTTGTATTGTCATGTCTGCGTCTCATGTTTCCTCTTTTATTTTGAAGGTCCATGTCCTACGTCAGTGTAGTCAGCTTTGCTTCCTTTGTCTCGTTAGTGTCAGCTGTTTCCCCATGTGTTTCCACTTCCCCTAATCACACTTGTGTGTATTTAGTCTGTGTGTTTCGGTTCATTCTTTGTCAGGTTGTCTGTTATTCACGCCATGTTTCTAGGGTTCATGTTGTTTGTTTAGTTCTCTCAGATTAGGTTAATGTTAGTCTTATTTCAGTTTGCCCTTTGTTTGTACCTTTTTTACCAGCCTCATTAATCGGCTCGTTGTTAATTCAAGTTTTGCTCCATTTTGTCTGCATTTTGGGTCCTCTACATCACACCAGACTGTGACACCTTCTACGGTTTTTCAGTTATTTTAAAAACATTTCACCAAAAAAAAAAAAATCTGTCAGACATGTCAAATGTATTACCTGCAGCGGGAAGTCTGAAACGACTTGTCTCTGTTTCAGGTTGGTCTCCCCATCTAGGTTGGCAGTTTCAATGTAACAAACCCCATGAGGGTCAGAGGTATACAGCAGCAACATGTCAGCTGGGATAATTTCATTACAGGACAAATGAACAAAGTCCCCAACTTGAACATTTTTCCAGCACTGGTCAACGTAGCATTTCTGTGTGCTATGGGACAAA